AAAAAAAAAGGAAGAAAAAAGAAACTATGTAATTAAAACTATTTCTCTTATTCTACTCACTCCGCCATTTTCTTGTACGTTCCAAGAACTCCAGGTACGATCCCCTTTCTCTCTTCTTTCTTACTCTGTTTTAGATTTTCATTTACGAATTCACGAGTTTCTTCCACATTAGGTTGTTCGATTTACGATTTTCTGAATTTCTGAAACAATTTCTGACAACTTTCCTCACTACCTATGCCTGATTTTTTATTGCTGAAGTGTTCTTGAGGCTGAATTCTTTTACCAAGTTGGAAGTTTAAAACTGGATTCTTGACCATTTTTTGGAATCGGAATCAGATTTGTTCATAGTTTAGCTAGCTTGAATCTTCATGTGCAAAATTCACTGTTCTGTTTATGATACACTATTTTTGGGGCTTATATTCTGGCGAAACAAAAGTAACCTCCAGTGATCATTAAAGCCATGTGTATATATTATATACATCTGAGGGGATTTAACTGTAAGTTCTTGGTTGTTGAATCAAGAGTAGGTCACTCAGTTCTTTCTTTGGATATAGACACATAAATCTTTGAGTCTTGATTTTATTGCTTGTGCTGACTTGTGATCTAGTTCTTGTGATTGGTTCAAATTTGTGTGTTAGTTCTTGTTTCAGCAGAAGAATTTGGATTTCTCGACGCTATAACCTATGTCGATGTCGTACCTACCGGCCACCTTTGATTCAAGGGGGGTTCTCTTAAGAATAAAGAAGACAAATAGAATCTAATTCATGTTTGAACAGGCTCTCACAACTGATAACCTATCTGAATCCATATCTATGTTTTACCGCATACTTGAAGACCCTTCGTCTTCCCCCGACACCCTATCGAATAAAGAGCAGGTCATATCAATGCTATTGAGTTATCTCCTACCGGAGAATCGAGTAGAAGATCTTCGAAACCTTGTCACTCAACTAAGGCCTTTCTTTAGCCTGATAACCAAATCACGGACAGCTAGAATTGTTCTTGGAATCATTGGTACTATATCAAAAATCCCCGGTACAATTGATGTGCAGATTTCTCTATGCAAGGAAGTGGTGCAGTGGGCACGTTTGGAGAACCGAACTTCCCTTTGGCATCGGGTTGAGCTCAGGCTTGCTACTGCGTTGTCTGATAACAAAGACCACTCAGAAGCCCTTAATATCCTTACAGAATTAACCAAGGAAGCAACAAGACTGGATGATAAGTCTCTCCTAGTAGAGATCCACTTGGTTGAGACCAAGATTCATTTTTCCCTAAGGAACCTTCCCAGAGCAAAGCTCGCGTTTGCTGCTGTAAGAACAGGTGCTAACGCCATCCAAGTGCCTCCCGCTCTACAGGGCGCCATTGATTTTCAGAACGGCATCCTCCATATAGAAGAGAAGGATTACTCCACTGCTTACGTCTATTTCTTGCTTGCTCTTGAAGTTTGCACAAGTCTTAGTGATCACGGTACTGCTGTAATTCGCCTCAAATATATGTCGTTGTGCCTTATAATGTCGAATCGCCCTCATTATGTAGAGTTATTGGTATCGAACTTGTGGTCGGATTCGTTTAGGATTGAGCTAGACGCCATGAAAGCAGTGGCCGATGYTCTTTCTAAGCGTTCTTTAAAGCTCTTTAAGACTGCAATTATAGATTTTAAGGTCCAACTACAGGAAGACCTACTTGTCCACAGACATCTCTCTTTCCTCTATGACACTATGTTGGAGCTAAATCTGTGTCGGTCGATCGAACCATTCTCGAGGGTCGAGATTGCCTATATTGCCGATCTGATTGAGCTGCCAGTTGATCAGGTAGAAGAGAGTTTGTCTCGGATGATTTTAGACAAGAAATTTGCAGGGGCATTAGATCAAGGAACTGGATGTATCATCATTTTTGATGATCCAGAGATTGATGGAACATATKAAGCAACTCTTGAAGCCATGTCAAACATTAACAAGGTTTTTGATAGCCTCTATGTAAGATCAGCAAAGATAATGGCATGAGCTTATTTGCTTGACTTTTGGTTTTCACATTCTCTCATGTTTTCTTCATAACGAAAGACCGGAGAATCATTTATGGACCCATTTGTTCTTTACATAATTTTCAAATTCCAAATTTACCCCTATCCGGAATTAGTCTAATAGATCCCTAATTTCAGTGTCGTGTCTAATAAGTCCTAAAACTGTAACAAAATGTTTGGCAAGTCTTTAAACTTTTCATTTTGTATCTAATAAGTTTTTAGAAATCTATTAGGTAGACACAAAGTTGAAAGAACTGGAACTATGAAGCAAAATTGTCTRATAGGTATCTAGATTTTAGAGAATTAGACTTAGTAGACACAAAATTGAAAGTTAAATGACTTACTAGACACTTCTTGAAGTTCGGGRTCTTATTAGAGATAACGTTAAAAGTTGAGAGACTTATTAGATACTTTTTAAAATTCAGAGATTAAGGCACAATTCTATCAAGGTCAAATTTATCATGCTCGAAAAGAGAGTTCGAGTCATAGTTAAGTTGAATTAGAGCTTTTATTGGGGTTTCCTCGTCACCCTCAATTTTATCATCTTTAAACAATGCCATGATGAAGATCTACGTAGAAATTTCAGTATCCATTAAAGGAATGAATTAGCTTAAATGTCAACTCAAATCCATGAAAATGAAAACTCTAAAGAACCTTCAAATTGTATCTTGCATCATAGTATGCATTGTTAAGAAGTTGCTTCTAGTTTTCACTCACAATTTTATTGGACTAGTCACATCTCACATGTCAAGCACACTTTTCCATAGTTTATACTTTTTACAAGAAAAAAAATGTTTGAAATTTGTAATAGAAATAATAAATTTTGGTTAAAAAAACATAATCTAGATTCTTTTAAGATTAGTTTGATAATAATTATATTTTCTTCTTTTGTTTTAGAAAATGATGCATGTTTATAAATATATATATTTTTTTAATTTTGTAATCTATTTTATATAAACCTTTTTTTAATTCTAGACAAATAAAAAAAAAGTAGTCTTCAATATTATTATTATTATTATTATTATTATTATTATTATTATTTTGTGTTTACAATTTGGCTAAAAATTAAAAAATATATATATTATTATTAGAAAATAAAAGCAAAAATTCTAGACAAGTTTAGTTTCATTTTTTNTTTTTGAAAAAAGACAAGTTTAGTTTCTAAAAGTAGAAAATCTTATTATCAATTGAGCCCTTCGTTTTTATATTTTGTATTTAGTTTGTTTATATATATATATATATATATATATATATAATTTTTAAGAGGTAACTATAATATTTTGATTTATATGTGATCAAAACCTTCATACCCTTCACAAGTTTCATAGGTTTCAAGTATGAATTAAATGAAAATTGTTGGCAGACAATAACAAAACAATATTTTACATTGTTTCTGATTAAATATTGAACATGTTTTTCATCTCATACTACATGCAATTTCAGTCACAAATGTTCCAAGAATTTTTGGGAGAGGTAATAATTTCTCTCATTTTAAAACTGAGTTTGGCATTAGAATAATGTAAGCATTTTCTATAAGCACTTTTAGGAGAAGCTTATATTAAATAATTTCTCCAAATGCACTTTAACTTATTTCGAGTATTTTTGGAGGTTTCATAATCATTTTTTTATGTCATAATTTTCAAATACCATGAAAATTTTGCAAATTGTTCCTAATTAGCTAAAAACAGTTTTCACCGTCTTAAGGATGAGTTTGAGATAGCTTTTGAAAGTGTGAGAAGTACCTTTTATTTTTTTATTTTCCAAAATTTTCACAATGTTCGGTATGTTTATGTAAGGATTTGCACAACGTCAATTTAGCTAGAACCCGGTCCTTGCTCCGACCCGAAACGCGAAGGGAAAACCTGCATAAGAACGTAAAATCTCCGACGCTCAAGTCAGTAAGCAGATCAGACTCAATATTCGAGGAGAAATTTTGTACCTGATGGTAAAATGAGGCCCTCTATTTATAGGTTTAGGTTCCGACAGGGGTTACGACAGGCGGTTACCTTGGTCGGATTTGAAGTCGAATGTGTCGGGCTCAAGCAGATCGAACTCGGGCACATTCCTGAAAATAACAGGTTACTTCCTTAACGGGAAATGGCAATAATTCCATCTCGACAAGTTCCGAAATGGAGCTCTCTAAGTTCGTTCCTCCGAATCTTCTTTCAATGACGAGTCCCCGTCCTCCACGTGGCAATAGGATATTTCATCTCCAAACAAGATAATAAAATGTGAGTTTGAAAACTTATTTATTTTTAGTTAATAAAAAATCATACCAAACTCTTGTTTCAAAATGTTTAAAAATACGTTTCACTATGTAACTAAGAGTTTGTTTGATATGTCTTCCTAAGCAACTTCAGAAAACTAGCTAAATCGAGCATAGTTCAACGGTAATTGACATATATATTCAACCAAGAGGTTATGAGTTCGATCCCCACCCCTACATGTTCTAAAAAAAAGTCGATCTCTTACTCTTTTACTTTTAGGTCCTATTTACTAACCCAGAAATCGGAATGGGAATGAATCATAATAAAAAAATCAATTAGAATGAAATCAAGAGTCAGAATCAGAATGCATTTAATATTGTTTACTAAAACTGTCTGGAATCGAAATCGAAATCARATATATAACAATTATTAGTATACCCCTTTCTTCTTTCTAGCAAGTTATAAATATATTAGTGTTAAAAGGTTCGAAATGCATAATTGTTTTAATTCAAAATACTTTTATTATAAATGYTTTTCATTTAAAAAAAAAAACCTTAAATTTAAGGCTATCCCAAGCACACTTTGTGTACCATTAAAATTTTGAAAAGTAGTTTGGAATGGATGAAAACATGTTTGACTATATTTTTCCAGTAGTGTTGCCAAATGAGAAGTGGTAGATTAAAAAATCTGGTGAAAATTTTTCAATTATTTAAGAATAATGTGAAGTCCAAAAATATTAAATGGTTATTTATGAAAGAAATTTCATAACGTCAACAAAGGAAATATCAATATATACTACGGGAGAATTAGAAAATTTCCCATCCTTAATGTGAAATGAAAGGACACATTTAAAGAGGATTTAATTTAAAACAAAAAATTAAAAGTTGCCAATTTATAAAAGAATATAGCAAAGTCATACTTTTGTTAGGTTGGCCAACAGAATAAAAATGCCACAAAGACAAAAATGGGGTTTTTCGTAAATTGACCAAATTGAAATATTTCCTAAGATTGAAGTTATATGAAAGTTCTTCCAAATGATTTTGAGCATAAAAAATGTAAAAAGACGTTTTTATCTCTAAACTAATGTTAAAGTAACAACTTAACCCTTAAACTTCAATAGAATTTAGATTACTGAAATCAAGATTCTACATTCCTTTCCATCCTACGCGCTACTACTTACTTAAATTGTTTGTAAGTCACTTACATGTCTCTTCGACAAATTTTCCAAGAAATCACCCAACTTAGTTACTTATTCTAGGTTAAGAGCGTTTGACTTTAAAGTTTTTATAATCGAGCTATCAAAGAGAAAGATGCCCTTTTGGTTTGGTTAGATAGTAACTATCGACTCTTTTAAGGCTTTCTATCCACATTTGCATAACCTCAAGATCCCTCCCATTTAGAAGCAGTATCAGTTCAGTCTCCAAATTCGTTTTATTCTACGAATCCAAAAACATAAACTATGATCCAAATCACATACCAAACAAATTCTAAGGTGAGAGGTAAAGAATCAAAGAAATGACTCAAATATGTAGTGTAAAGGGGAACTATATTTTTCTTTTCTAAAGGTCTAAATATAAAAAGCTTACAAAAGAGCTATTAAAAAGGAATTTTTGTAACAGCAAATGACTCAGGACCATCTCCATTCCCAGAAAAGCAAGAACTATCAGAAAAAAGCATACTCAAAATACATGCCCTTCAACACTCCTCTCTGCTGGAAGTTGTAATAATTCTCGAATCCCTTCGCAAACCTGCAAACCGAAAATTCAAATAATTGTCTTCCACACCTCCAACTCGTCCTCATATAGGCGAAATATATATTTTAGTCCCTGGTGTTTTGGGTGTTTTCTCAATTTAGTCTCCTATTGTTTAAAAGGTTCGATCTAGCCCCTTACGTTTTAAGATCTTTCAATTATACCCTACCGGTTGGTGAACGTTAAAAATGACTGATAATGGGCTTAATTGACACTTAGTAAGTTCTCATAAATTTAGAGGAGGAATTAAGCCACCTGAAAGAAGAAAATTCAAAGTTTTATGACTTAGCTTCTTAAAATTTTAGGGGAGGGATCAGAAACTTTCCACTCTTAGATTACAATTACCTCATTGTTTCTCTAAATTTCTACAAACCCCAAGTATCACGTCATGCAAATTTATCCTAAGCCAATTATGACTATTAAGAGACAAAGAAAGAGAATAGAAAAATAAATCATTACAAAGAACGTACCAACTTGATCTGCGCTTTAATTGATGCAATTAACTGGGTGTACTCTTCTATCTGTCTGTGTAGTTTTGACAAATAATACAAAATTCAGATGCAATTGCCCAAAAAACATATATAGACTCTTGAAAAAAAACTTCGTTAAATTACAAGTTAAATTACAAGTTTAGTCTCTAAACTTTCAGAATTGTGTCTCATAGGTCCCCAAGCTCTAAAAGTGTCTAAGAGATGCCTAATTTTTTTTTCATGTCTAATAGGTCTTTAACTTATTAGAGACCTTATAAACACAAAATTTAAATCGATGTCTAATAGATTCGTAATTTTACAAAAACGTTTAACCTATTAGATACAAAATTGAAAGTGTAAGAATTTATCAGACACTTATTAAGTTCAAGAACCTAATAGACATAGACACGATCCTAAAAGTTGAGGGACTAAACTTGTAATTTAACCAAAAACTTTTGAAGCGTAAGATCCTACAAATTAGAGGTTTTCAATCACTAATCTAAACAATACAAGCAGCGCTAGAAACATTTACCTGGCTAATCTTTCTTCTCTAAGAGAAATGAAATTTAAAGCTTCAGACCATGTGAACTCCACATGAAACCCAAGCCCAATATCTACAAATATGCTTCGTGTATCTGGCCTGTACAAGTACAAACGGCAATCTAGTGAAGTTGAAGTTGAGTTTGGGATAACCTTTTAAAAAAAGGTATCTTTTAAGATAAAAGCACTTTTTCTGTAAACATTATTGGAAGAATTAATAATTTCGAGTGTGTTTATCATAATTTTCTCAGTAGCTTTAAATGATAAAAGTTCTTAAAATTGCAATGTTTGGTTTTGAACAAAAAGCACTTCTAGAAACGGATCGATCTCAAAATACTATTTAGAAGTAACTGACCGAAAAATCATGATAGGCCCCGGGTCACTAAGTTCTATACTCGTAAGAGAGGAAAGGAGGACCACATAGTGAGTGAGGGCATGTGATGTGTGGGATCTAGAGAATATTGTTAGTTAGGGAAAGAGTGTCATGAGGTAAGTTTTTGGGGTGATTTAAAGAGGCAGAGGAGTGAGGGGGGTAGTTTTTTGGTATCTTTTGTAAGGCTCAGATTAGGAGTGCTTTTGAGAGAGCAAGGGAGATTTTAGTCTTTTGTTATATTATTATAAAGAAAACTGGGTCTTAACAAATCACTTCAAAGTTCAAATTATGTAGCGAGGAAAAAAATACAAATTTGTGGTGGGCAGAACTATTTTTGAATCACTTTTAGTTCGTGGTGCTTAAACCAAAAGGTATGCCAAACTCACCCGAAAGCAGCACGAGAAGGAAAAAAATAATTAAATAGGGAGAGAGAATTGAGAAACATCCATGGTCATAGTTGACATGGAAAGCAAGGATGAAGAGAGGACTTCAAACAGATTCATGAAGGGGAAAATGCTCAGTTTCTCAGAATAGCCATAAGTTGGAGTCTATCAAAGGTATAAGATATTATGAACCAGTAATTCGAAATATCATTAATAAGGGAAATAAAAGAGTAAAGGAGCACAGGTATCCAGGATGACAAAATATACGAGGAACTTACACATCGCCTTGCACATAGACTTCAGAGCCAAGATTGACCAACGTTCTGAGGTTAGTTATACTGTTCTTCTCCAGATTTTCGATGTTTTTTCGAAGGTCTGAACTAAGGGTGAAAGAATGTTAAGTAAACAATATCATAAATATCGTTGAAAATGCGGCAAAACACGAGCAGAGTAATGTATGGCAGGATCAATCACTAAGAATGGAGTGAAGCCATAAATTTGACAAGGTATTAGATAAATTATAAAGGATACAACACCTTCTGCTGCTCAAACACTTTGTCCCTGCCAAACAAAAAACAAAACAGGAAGGGAGGAATTAAATGAATTTTACATCTCAAGTTTTCAAGAAAAATTCACAGACATCTAGTCTCTACAAATTAAAAACATCAAACATAGATTAGTATATACAACAATAGCCTTTCCCTGCAACAAAAAACGTCCCTAACTAGTTACAAATGTTAAAGAAAATGAAAGTTAATAGCCCTTAATGATCTTTTCACAAAACAAATCGGATACCATACCATTTAGATGGGCATCTTAAGATACTTTTTTTAACCAAAATAAATTTTCATTGAAAAATGAAACGAAAAATTACTTAGGGAGCTTGAAGGAAAGATAGAAAAAGAGAAAAGGAAAACAAGAAAAGGACGAGCTTAACGAGGAGCAATACAATTAGATTGAATAATAATCTGACATTAAAAAAGCCAAAAACCACCAACAAAAGGCCTAAGAACAGCTCATATGAAACTTGGGACACCAAAAAACTGTTGCCAACCAAATGAAGCTCCAATCCATACTTAGACGAAGAAGTATTTGAAGTAACAAAATCCTTAACAACATCCTCAAGCTCCTTTACATAGTCATTCAACAATCCAAGCCGCTCCTTGGCAGGACTAAGAGAGACTGAGAGAGATTAATGAAAATACTCTTCTTGAAGCCTTTCCAACTCTTTTACGACAGAGGCGATATAAACAACAAAATGAGTCGATGACATTCTATAAATTTGTTTCGAACCTAGTTAAAGATCTTCCTTGGGCTCTCAAGATACTACAGAACAAGTCTCCCCTCAAAGCATGTATTAGAGTCATTAGACACCCGCCGGCAGCCACCACCACATAGCTTAATTTATGAATTAATTACTAAAATAAAAAAAAACTACTAAATCTCATACAACATATATATTTAATGTAATTCCATGGAAGACAATGAAAGGAAATCTCAAGTCATACATCATCCTTTTAAGTTAGAATATCAATCTATATGGGTTGAACAAAATTACAAATCACTTGATTGACCATGCTTCATTCTGATCCGTCAAAATGCAAGAAGTTGAGAAACTAAAAGCGACAATGCATACCTTTCAGCAATTGCATGAACCAGGTCGGGTTTCAAGCGACGGTCAACAAATTCCTCAAATCTTTGAACTTTCTCATGGCGAAAGTTATCAGTTCCTACATTCATGATTGATGAATCTAACTGATCCTGCCTGTCGTGCGGATGTTCCAGAATAGTTATCAACAACAAGGAATAGGACCAAGAGAAATTTCGGCAGCAAAACTTATAGAAGACCTAAGAAGCACGGACACTGCAATAAGTCCATTTCTAAAAAACTACGCGTCATTTTTTAATTTTTTTTTGAAGGATATATGTAAACTTAACATAAAAATGCTAAATTTACTTACTAAAAAACATAAATGTCAAGTCAGTGGCGACGGAGGCGGGCGCTTTCGTGCGTGGGTGGTGGGTGGCCTTCTTCATGCGTGGTCACCGGGTAGCCTTCTTTTAGGGTTTTTTTTAATTATTTTAAGTTTTTTTTTCCCTTGAAACGGTTAATTTCAGCTGTGCTTCACATTGGGCTTAGAATTAAAGAGATAACATAGTGGTGTTTTAGAAATTTATTTAGTAGAGATTTTTTCAGTTGGGCAGAGATTTTTTTTCCTTCACGGTTAATTTCAGTTGTTTTAGATTTCTACGGATAAGATTTTAGTTTAATTCTGATTTTATCCTTTCATTTACATTTATTATAGTTATTTGTTTTTTTTAATATAAAAGATTTAATTTCATAAATTATTATATAATTCTTTAATTATTGTGGATCCATACAAATTTTCCACGCAAATCTCTTAATTCACCCCTTCAAACCTTAATTTACTTCGATTGATTTTCTTGAATATTTACCAATATTATTAATTACAAAAATATCCAAATCATTATCACCCCTTTTGTAATGGCCCAACATCTTCTCACTGGTGAGCTCTCACTCTCCAACTACCTTAAGATATATTCGGATATAAACTAAATTTCATATAAACTTCCTAAAATAATTGTTACCAACTCACTCTCCAATTAACAACTCACTCTCCAACTACAACCCTCGGATATATCCGGATATAAACTAAATTCCATATAAACTTCCTAAAATCACCCCTTTTTTTTCGATGCAACGACAAACTCGTGACGACGCAACCCACCATAAACGATGATCTGTAGTAGCTTGGCGACGCGTTCCCAGTTCGAATAGTAGCGGTGGCGACATCCCTCCACGGTGGTGTGACTCCTTTGCGTTAGCGACGTCCCTCCACGACATCGGTTCTGCAACGGTGACAACACCCATGATGCACCAACCCCGCGATTCAAATCCACAGTAAAATCAATTGCAAAAAATCCCCCAAAAATCTAGAATTTTTTTGCACGATTCAAATCTTCTCCCTCAATTGACTGAAACTCCTTTGCATGTGATCCGCTTGCAGCTGTTTGCTTTAATCAAAACTTCCACCACAAAAAAAGGTTCCTTATTGTTGCCGGAAAACGCTAGAATCACAACAAACTTCAACCGATTGGATGAAACGTTGGAAAAAAAGTTGAAGAAGATAAAGGGGAATTTGAAATCCCTTTTAGGTTTTTTCCTCCAGGAAGTGATGAGGTGCTATAATGAAGAGATTTCAAATTTTGAGATAATTTAGGGATGTGAATCCCGGAAAATTTGATTTTTATTGCCCTAAAAAATCAATTTTCCGTAATTTGAAATTTTATTTTAATTGTTTATTAAATATGTATTAAGGGCAACTTGGTAAAAAATTGAAGGATGCCATTTTGGGCAAATTTTATGACAAAAGTGTAAAATCTTAATATTCAAGTCATTTATGTAATCTGATTTTACCCGAATTGTCTATTAGTGTAATTATCCCTATATTAAATAGTTTATTTAAAAAATGGCCAAAAGAATCAAATATCATGTAAATGACTAAAAGACAGTTAGAGTTGAATTAGAGAATTTTATGTGTACAAATATACCCTCCCATCAAAATAGATAATTTTATCATGTCATTACCCTTATAAATGTGTGGCGAAAATACCCTTGAAATTAATAGGAAACAAAATAGTGAATCAAAATTATAAAGTTAAAAAATTTTAAATAACATCTAGATTTAGAAATTTCGAAATTTGTAAGATAAATTGAAATAACAAGAACATAAAATCAATTTAGAAAAGTGGAAAATAAATAAAAAATAAGATTGAAAAATCAAATACTGTTTTTAAAACTATGGAAGGGGTAGCTACATTGGGAGACACAATAATTAGTATCCTTCTCCCAAAAAAACGTAATCAATAAAAAAAGAACCTACAAAATAGGTTACAGATAAAGGTTAGGACAAGGATGAAGCTAAAGTATTTTCTTATTCATACGTTGTATATAATAATACTTACGTGGTAGTGAAAGTAGTTTACTTACACTATAATGAGCGACTTGCTTGCATCATTTCATTACTTAGTTTTTACCATGGTTAAGGATAATCTCTATCTAATATAGGGTAAATACGTGTATATACGGAATAAAAACAGAGTAAATAAAGAGACGTATAGAAAGAATAAAACGAAATAAAGAGTAAGTAAAGAGGCGTATAGCCAGAACAAAGTCAGAGTAAGTAAAGAGGCATATAGACAGAATAAAAACAGAGTAAAGATACACACGTACCTGGATTTTTCTTAGTCAGCCTAGTTGCAAAAGATAGGATGAGATCATGTGACTGCTCATTATAGCTACAATGTCTCGTGGGGAAGGAGACTCATTTTCCTTTTCAATCATCTTCTCCATCTACTACTTCCTCTCAACTCTCAATAATTATATTACCTTAAATATCAATTCCTCCAATGTTTGCTTCTAATTTTTGCAAATTAGGATTCAAATGCATAAATTAAAATGGGGATCAAATGGCACATTTTTGTGGCAAAAAACTAACAAGGAGAAGAAAAAATTCTTTAGTTCTTCAATGGTTGAATTGAATTCTTCTTATAATCTGAATGCTTACTAGATGAATTTCGATCACGGAATTGGAGGCTCAAACTTTACATGTCATTCTATGCTCGATTTGTTGATTCCTCCATGTCTCGAACAACTTGAGATTGTTGGGTTGATAAAAGATGGGGATTGATGAAACTTTTGTAAGAATATTTAGGAGACGCCGTATTTAAAATGGTGATTGCAATGACATTTACTGTCCAATTAGTTAGCTTTGTTATAGATTTTAATTAGATTATGTTAGAGACAAATTAATAATAATTTTTAAAAAGTTTGAATGATATAGGTAGATTCGATCATTTGTAGAATGTAGATTTGGTAGCTTTCGAGATCTTGTTGGTTTGGTTATGGAGAGATTTTAGAGATTTGACGGTTTGATAATGTGATTTCCAGGATGTGGGTGGCCGAAAAGTGGAGGGGTAAAATTGAGAAAGGATGCAAGGGCAATATGGGCATGAAATGTGTAGGGGTAAATATAGAATTCTATCCTCCCTTAAAATTTAGGAAATCCAATTATGTTCATGTCATCTACGAAAACTTTGGCCATTTTTCATTACGATATGGCGTGTCCGACGTGCCCCACGTGTCTGAAATTAAATATAAATAAATTGGACACTTCTAGTCCTGTAATAGGGAAGCTTCCCATATTACCTCCATTTAAAATATGACATGTGTAGAACCTTTATTATTATATAAATAAAAATATATCTATTTTATTTGTGGGCCCGCATATTCAAAAACGAACTCACTCCATTGCATCTCATATTCTCTCCTTATTTAACCGTACATTCTCTTCTATTAATTACTATTATATTTATTTATTTTATTTCTCCTTTCATTATTTTTTTTTCATATTCACTTACTTCTCTCATTCTCTCATTCTTCATTTTGGTTTCCTGAATTTTTCTCCTTTCAAACTAAATTTGTTCTGTTGATGCGAGACTTGCAAAACAGAATAGAGTGTAGAGTATTGTGAGTGTAGCCAATAGTAGAGATTTGTAGCATTTTCGAGTAAAATCCTAAGCCATTAGCATATTTTCTCCTTTCGAATATAAGATACTTCTGAATCTAAATCTAGGTTTCGAATATAGATATATTCTCTTGAATCTAGGGGAAATCCTAACCATGATATCTTCTTTCTTTTGAATTCCTTGGAGTTCGAATTCTAGAAAATATGGATTTTCTCATCCATAACATCTCCATTTTTTCCTTTTTTTCCTTCTTTATTGTTATTTGAATGATAAGAAAAAATGTTTGTTTATTTTATTTTGATATTTTCATTTTGTTTGTAATTTTATTTTTAAGTTTGGTTAGATAATTAACAAAACTTAAAAAGTAAATATTAACATATTTTATCTGTTCGCCATTTTGATTTTTTTTTAATAGATGTACAAATATCCAATAATAAAACATGAATAATAATTTACATAAATTAGAAGATATGTCAGGAACTTATTTGAAAATTTCATTTTATTGAATTATATCTTATCCACCGACCATTAACTTGAAACAAAATTTTCAACTAAGCCTAAAATTCAACAATATCTTTACTCAAAATGACAAAAAAATGTGTATTTATAATCAAAGAATCAAAATTCATAAAAATGATGAATTTAAAAATATAAACAATTATACATAACATACCTAGAGATTTACTTTTTCACGTGGGGATGACCACATGCAAATATTTTTATGCATTAAAGGAATAATGAAAAAGATATAAAATAATTAGAATGAAATGAAAAAAAAAAGTAATAAAGAACTAGAAAAATAAAATATAGATAGAAAAGTCATAAATAAGTTTGATGAGGTGTGAATAATTAAAATTCTTTTTTTTTTTACCTTCAAATAATTAAAGGTCAACCTTCTATAAAAAAACGAAGAAATTTAGTTTGAAAGGAAAAAAATTCGGGAAACAAAAATGAGGGAGAGAAATGAGTGAAGATGTGAAACGAAAAATCAATTAAAAGAAAAAAAATAAATAATTACATAATATAGTAATTAGTAGAAGAGAGAATATACCATTAAATCAGGAGAATGTCAAATACGGTTGAATGATTTTGTTTTCTAATATACCGGCCCCACAAAGAAAATAGATATATTTTTATTTAAATAATAATAAAGGTACTCTACACATGACAGATTTTAAATTGAGGAATCCATATTATCAGGAGGACTAGAAATTACTCCCCTTATTTATCATGTCCGTGCTTTATAGACAAAGACAAACTACAAAATCAARAGTAGTTGTCATTTTAGTCGTATGGAAAAATGGAACTACTTCATAAAATAATTCATCAAAAGGTATTTACAAGTTTAATTAGATTTGAAAGACATAAACTTAAATGCAGACTCAAAATTTTCATTTTTGATGAAAATTTGAACTTTCATGGAAACAAAGGAAAGAAAAATAGGAGGGCATAAAAAGAACAACCCAGCAAAAAGAATGAAAAGTAAAAGAACACAAGCAAAATCTGATCTAAGAA